GGTACCTAAATATACGTTCTGAAAAGGCAACAGTCAAGTGACATCCAGACATTATATCTTTCACAGTAGTTGATCAGTATCAATACATGTCACAATCGTGAAATGTTATATCCATCTTCCATTTTCACTTTGTATCAAAAGATTCATAACAGTCAAATTGCTGCCATCCCGTTAAACCCATCAATATACAAGTGTATGTATATCACAATTACCATATGCACATCATAACCCCATCATCCAACCCTCCCAAACCTCTTCACCAACTCCCCCCTCCCCAAACCCAACAACCCTAACTTCCTCAACCCTCTCCCCTCCTCAAAATAATCCCTCCCCATCGCCATTCCGGCCAACTCCACCACCGCTCTAAGCTTCTCCACCCTAACCCCCAACCCCTCCGCCAATACCAACCACGGCACAAGCAAATCCGGCACATCCTCTGCAATAAACCTATTCTCCATCTCATTCGGCGCGTGTAGCCCATTATGCGGTTCCGATTTCCTCGCTAGCTCAACTAAATCGGTGAAGTGTTGATCATAGCATTTATTCGAAACATCCAGGACAGAATCGAGTTTAAATCCCAACTCGCTCCCAATCTGAAGACGCACAGCATCGATTGCTTGAATAACGTTCGATACCGAGCGCGTAAGTCCTTCTTTATAAAGGAAGAATGATCCCGGACTTTCGATGCTGGATAATTTTAGTGCTCATTCATCCCATTCAAAAGTACATTAGATGGGAACAGCAAAACTCACCGACCAGCATTCATCAGCATCATAACCGGATGAAACACCCCATTAATATTCCCCAAACACACCTCCACCACATTCTCACACCAACACAACTCCATCGGGAAAATCCCCCTAACCTCCTCTCTCAATCCCCCATCAATCCTCCCCAACGCTGCAATAGAAAATCGACTCTTCCTCCCCGACACAGACAACTTCCCCCCACTCATCCTACACGAATACGGCGATAGATTCGTCTCCAACACACACTTCACCTTCACATCCCCGATCATGTCTCGAAAAACAAGCGAGAACAAATTTCCTGGTATAGCAATAATAGTATGAGCCTCCAAATCAAAAACTCGCAATTCATCAACGATGGTTTCCTGTCCTGTAGACGGAACAGTCAAAATCAGGAATTTGGAAAAGGAAACCGCGTCGCCGATATCGTAGGTGAGTTTTGGATTTGCAGAATCAATAGAAGCGGGCGAATAGAGCTCGAGATGCCCATTGCAGAGGATAGAAGAAGAGTGGGAGATATGCGAGGGATGGGAATACACTAGGACATTTGTGCCGTGGCGCGAGAGATCGGCTGCGAGTGCGAGGCCGGCGGGTCCAGCGCCGAGAATTGAAACTCTTTGTTGCATGATATGATGTGATGCTGAGGATTGCCTTTATAGCACACTGAAATATAAAGCAAAGCAAAATATCTCTCCCAATATTCAACTCGACAAACAAAATACCAAACACGAAGAAACCGCATACATAAACCCCGTTTATATCAACATTTCTTCTTGTCCATTATCTATCTCCTCACTACCCTCCCCCTTCGTATCGAAATCCCCTCTTCCACATGAGCACATTTGATCTAATTACCAACATCTAGGGCGTGCTTACCTGCAGCTCAGCTCCTCCGGTTAATAGCATCTATATTGCTGAAGACTTGGCTATCGCTATTTTGCAAAGTACCTACCATAGCATAGCATGATTGAATTCCTCTGCGAGTCAAATATTATATGCTCCAAATACCTCTATTCCCTGTAATCACTGAATGCACGCAAGGAAGTTGGCATACAGGATGTTTTGCAAGGTGCGGGAGAAAACCTGCTTGTGAGGAAGTAAGCGGAGTTTTCAAGTTTGAGGACTGTTCTTTTCTGCTAAGTTGCAGGTTACGAGATTTATTCTGTTTAGATGGTAGAGATTATTTAATGGGGTGGTTTTTTCCTTCCTAGGATTCTTTGGATTTACGAGTATGTTTCACAGGTCTCTGATACTGAACTGGATCGTGGAAGACCTATACTCGTGTACAAGTTACCTACCTAGTAGTAATTATCACATCGTACTCAAGGTCCTAGAATACAACTAAAACAGAACTGAGAGTGGCCAAATTCCACAATTAAGAAGCGATGAAACTTTCTCATAATCCATCATCAGCCCCTCAATTCCCAACTCCCCCCTTCACAGCAACCGTAACCAACAACTCCATCTGCATCCTAATCTCCCCCTCTCCCCTCCACCCCTCCCACTCCCTCACCATTTCCCTCCTCGCACTCTCCCTCAACCTCTCCGGAATCCCCCCATACGTCTTCCCCGACGAACTAACATCTAACCACCTCACCATCTCCGGCCCATCCCTCGCCACCTTCACAATCCCATTCGACCCTATTTCCCAGTTCTCAAAGCCCGCCTTCCCTAGCAGCTCCTCCATCTCCCTCTTTTCCAAAAACCTCGGTCCACCTTCCTCCTCCACAAACCCCACATAGGGTTCTCTCCCCAAAACCTCCCTCTTAATCCTCTCATGCAGGGCCTCGAAATCCCCCGATCCCCCCGAAATCCCCAGTTTTCCACCTCTTTTCAGCACCCTGAAACATTCCCTCAATGCGCCCTCCTGATCCCCCACCCAATGAAACGTACTATTCATAAACACCGCATCGAAACTCTCATCCCCAAAGCGTGCGAGATCCTCTGCGATGCCTTCATAAAATTCAAGATTGGTTTGCTCTCCATAAGTCGAGAGAGCGAGCGCGATACGAGAAGAACTGGGATCGATCCCAATGACTTTTCCGTCTGGGACAAGCGAGGAAATGTGAGCGGTGAGATTGCCGGGTCCGCAGCCTATGTCGAGGATTTGGATGTTGGGGGTATGGGCGAGAGCGAGTTTTTCGAGGAGATACTGTCCGGCTTTGTATTGGGTATCGTTGACGAGGGTATAACCTTTTGCTAGCTCAGAGGTATCGCTCATGGCTTGGTATGTTCGGGTTTTTGCGTCTTGAAGGTGGTTTTCTAAAATCTTCATATATCATCTACGAGATGGTATGTTTAGTTGAAGTCTTATATCTCCATTTCTTGTACGATACCCAACTCATATGCGAATCCGATCCTTGAGATTCTGAACGAACAACAGGTGTTAAAATTGAACATGAGCTATTACGAGCTTTTTTGAGCATGTTATAGCAAGATTACCCAATGTGGTAAAAAGCCAAGAAGGGGCTTCAAGGGCCTGCACCACGACTTCGCTTCTAAAACGAGGCGGGAAAAGAATGAGAAGAGCTTTGGAAAATGCGAGGACTCGATGATGAGAAATTAGTCTGCGTGATTCAGATGATTCGGGCCGCTTTCATCATACATCCTATTACACATGAGAATCGTCAAATTCCACGAAAAAATCCGAGATTAAGCTGTTTGTTTCAACACAACATAATCCAAGTCATCATCTCATTCACAAACCCTTCAAAACTCAAAATAAACAAATCATTTCTCCTCAAACATGAAAGCACTCTGAAGGAGTTACAAGAACGCCCATCATCTAATCCCACATCCCACATCCCAAATTTCTCAAAACAAAATACAGCAACAATACCGCTACCAAGCAAACTACTCCTCCAACAAATCAACCCTAAACTCCCTTTCCACACCCCTCACAACTTCCCTCCTCGCTCCATTCGCCATACCACCAGCTCCACATACCAACACAACTGTCTACATTCCTTCTCTACCGTACCCTCCTCACACTTGCTATCCATTCTCCCATCCAAACATCCAACATATCCCACCTAGTATTTCCTCAAATTTTCCTCCACCCAAATCAATCGACCCCCATATACAATCTACAACCCAACCCCTACACCAAAAATGCACATCCACATCCACATCATCCAATATCCCAATAACAACACTCGCCAGAAAATTCTCCTTCGCATGCTCAATCAGCGCCATCTCTCTCGCATTCCAAGGGAGTATGTATCGTTTCGCCTTCCTCATAATCCTCTGTTTCTTATCTCTCCAACTTCCCATTTCCTTCTCTACCATTCACAAAACCCTTATTACTAAAGTCTTGAACGAAGCCAAGAAAATTAATAATACCAATTCCACCCACAATACAAAAAATCGTATCCACAACCAACAAACGATGAAGAGAAACTCGATGACCCGCATCAAATCTTCGTTGTAAATAGAAGTTTTCATACCCGAATTAGATCGTAGGTTACTAAAAGTTTGCGAAGAGCAAATTTCATTCCTGTCTCTGGACAGACGAGGAATTGATTCGATGTGCGGGTTTGTGTATAGGTTTGTGTTTGGTTTGCTATTTCTCGTTCTCTCGAATCTCTCAAACTTGAAACCATTCCATTAGTTCTTATCCCTTCAAAAGTAAGATCAAAAATTGAGAGATCAGTAGAAGCATTCAATTGCGACTTTCCCTCTCTTCTACACCCCGCAACACTAAACGGGAGACTTTCCCCCAAGTATAACACCTAACGAACGACTATCATCAATTCAATGCTCAAAGTCTGATTTTCGAAGTAAGACTTAAAAACAAAAAGCAAAGAAACAGAAAGATAATTTACTCTCGTCTAGTTTTTATAATAAGCGAGTGATTGAATGTCTTGAATGGTATACCTATATAGCCCTGGAGGTACCTAAATGTATCGATAGACGATAAACGATAGACGAGGTAATACTTAATACCACAGAAACACATACCTAGTTGTATTTAGGGCCCAAGAATTGTTCAATTAAGAGCGAATCGAAGTTTCCACACTGCACACTGCGCGACTATTGAAATCACTTCTGTCATCGAGATTCATATTTATATTGCCTATTGACTATTCATAATATCATCTAGCAAACTAAAATATCTCATCCCATCTCATCTCTCTCATTTCCCAACCCCACCGAATAATCAGACGCTCATTTTCGGATATTCGCAGAACACAAACCACCCCATATGGATCAAAATGACGCAAGGCTCAAAATGTCATATACGGACCGAATAACTTAGTACTCAGCCTCACCCTCTTCGGCATCGAAGCTGTCAGCAGCAACCTCTTCGTAATCCTTCTCCAATGCTGCCAAATCTTCTCTTGCTTCACTGAACTCTCCTTCCTCCATACCCTCACCAACGTACCAATGCACGAAAGCACGCTTGCTGTACATAAGATCGAACTTGTGGTCCAATCTTGACCAGGCCTCGGCAATAGCGGTGGTGTTGGACAACATACTGACGGAACGATCGACCGAGGCGAGGGCACCGTCGTTGGGTGCAGTAGATGGGACGGACATAGGCTTTTGGTAGTTGATGCCGAGCTTGAAACCAGTTGGACACCATTCGACGAGGTTGAAGGATGTCTTAGCCTTGAGGGAAGCGACAGCAGCGTTACAGTCACGGGGAACGACATCACCACGGTAGAGGAGGGCAACAGCCATGTATTTTCCGTTGCGGGGATCGCAGACAACCATTTGGTTGTTTGGCTCGAAACACCTACATGAAGTTAGAAAAAGATATCAATACCAAAGTGGGGAAACTTACTGGAGGGTCAATTCTTGAGTCTTGAAGCTCTCGTGGGAGCTTCTAGCAGCAGAGATGACTGGAGCGTAACTGATCAATGGGTAATGAATTCTTGGGTAAGGAACCAAGTTAGTTTGGAACTCATTGAGATCGACGTTCAAAGCACCATCGAAACGAAGTGACGAGGTAATGGAGCTGACAACTTGAGCAATCAATCTGTTGAGATGCTCGAAAGAAGGACGAGGAATGTCCAAGTTGCGACGGCAGATATCGTAAACAGCCTCGTTATCGACCAAGAAGGTACAGTCGGAGTTTTCGATAGTGCTGTGGGTGCTGAGAACAGCATTATATGGCTCAACAACAGCGGTAGAAACTCTGGGAGCTGGGTAAACTGCGAATTCGAGCTTGGATTTCTTGCCATAATCGGTGGAGAGACGCTCAAGCAAGAGAGATCCGAAACCAGAACCGGTTCCACCACCGAAAGAGTGGAAGATCAAGAAACCTTGGAGGGAAGAGCAGTTATCCTGGGGGTTAGAAAATTAGTAATGCCCATTACAAGACACACGAAATATTTCCTTACCAGAACGCGACGAATCTTGTCCAAAGTACCATCCAAGATCTCCTTTCCAATTGTGTAGTGACCACGAGCGTAGTTGTTGGCAGCATCCTCCTTTCCACTGATCAAAAGTTCAGGATGGAAGAGGGATCTGTAATCACCAGTTCGGATTTCGTCGATTGGAGATGGGTCGAGATCGACGAAGATGGATCGAGGTACGTATTTACCATTGCCGGTTTCAGTGAAGACTGTATCGAGTTCACCAGATTCGTGGACAGCCTTTGCCTCGGGATCAGGACGACCATCTTGTAAGAGACCATGCTCAAGAAGATATCTGAGAAAGCAGGAAATTAGTATACAATCGAGTATACTCGAGGTATCTAATCAACTTACAACTCCCAAGCACTGTTACCAAGCTGAGTACCAGCTTGACCGATATGAAGGTGAAGAATCTATAATAAATGACTTGTCAATTACCAATTATAGCACTGCGACGCGGATTCATTGAATCGATAAACAGAGAAGAGATACACTACTAGAGGAAAGTAGTGAAGTAATTGGTGAGGGAGGTAGTTGTAGTGTAGTGTAGTGCGTTGTTCAAATAAGAATTGATTTGTTTATTTACCTCTCCGCGAGTCATCTTGAATTATCCTTTTCTCGAAGTAAATGGGAATGGCAATGGCAGAGAATGAGGGAAGAGATTAAGTTTGCAGTCGTCGACGTCGTTGAGCTATGGCAAGAGATGTTCCCTTTGCGCGATCTCAGCAATGCTGGTATGATATGGTATTATTTGGGTGAAAGAGTGGATTTGCTGGCAAGTGTTCAAATTCGAATTTCGCAAAGTCCTCTTGGTTGATTTTGAATGTGGGGCGTCTGTATAGGGAGATAACGCGGCGGTGTAAGTAGAGTTTCAGGGGTTAAAACGATGATGAACCTGAGAATTTTGGCATTTTGACACACGCTAGAGCCAATTGGGGTGTTTACTATGCAATAATATCACGTGCTGTGTGCATGAAGGTAATGTTATCAATATTGAATGTTATGCGTTCTCGTTGGAACAATGCAATACAATAGATTCTTATGATTTAAGATAGATCAATGCTAACATCCAAACGATCTTCGCTCCCAAAGCTCAGATTTATATATCAATCAAAAGTCTTCCTAACTGATCTCAAATGAGAAATAATAATCAATACGATTTTACAAACGCCTCAATAAGCAGTCATCATCTATACTGTCGCAAATTTATCTCATTAATTTTGAAGAATACAAGCATGCGAAAGAGCCCATGTCCGTAATTTAGTATACACCAAAGAAGATAACCAGTAAAAAGGACTCAATTGAAGAATAAAAGCTTTGAAAATTGCAAGGCAACTGTTTCCTGCACAAGATGTGTTTTAACGCCAAAAGGAAAGTTTGAAAAAAGCACACGCACTCTGCTACTTTCCATTACCAGATTTTCTCCGTTGTCCCCAGTCAAATTCTTCATGGAAACCATTTACCATGAGCACCAGATATCAATTTTCTTTCAATCACTTTAAATCACCCCGATTCCATTCCTCAACTTTAATAGTTTAATTCTCCGGATCCAGCTCCAGCAACAGCGTCAAGATCTTCATAAGATTTTAAGCTTCTACCGGCGGTCGCTTCACGAGGTCCGGTAGTTGTACCACCCGGTGTTATCCCATCACCCCATCGGTTATTGGCATTAGCTCCCGCGAAACGGTGTGCTCCTCCACGACCGCCACGGTCACCACCGGTCAGAGGGCTTAATCTACCAGCATTGGGATCCCCACGGTTTTGATGATTTAAATTGGGTCGACGATCATAAGGGCCAGTTCGATTATTGGTTTGATATCGACCAGCACCTCTTCGGATGGGACCAGGACCACGGTTATCAGAGCCACCAACCCAACCCATAGGCGATTGAACAGCATGCCCAGCAAGGAATGGTGGAAAACCGGTAGAAGGTGTGAAGCCTGTCATGGGATTGATTCCGTTCATTCCAAAGTTTTGAAGATTGAAACCTCGTGGAGTACCCGCTGGCATATGGCCATTGGCTGGAGGGAAATGCCCGTTGCTGTTGGCATCTGATCTCGATGGAGCGATGTGTGCAGGATCGAGGACATAGGTGTTGACAAGATCAAACTACACCTAGATTAGCTTAGGTCGTTTGGAAAGGGTAGAAACAATAACTTACATCAGACTTAATGCTTTCTAACCACTCGGGATGTCTCTTTTCGACATGCTTCTTCCAAAAGTGCTCTTCCTTGAACAATTTGGTACATTCTGGAACTCTGCATCTGAATTTGTGGTCATCTTCTTGCTTCACGAATTTAACCAACTCTTCCTTCAGAGCATCTTCAGTTGGCTTTCCACCCAATTTTCGCACATCCACATTATCTGGATCGAGGATTTGCATAATCTTATCCTCAAACGTTCTGACCCAATTGAAAGCGCGTTGAAGCTGTTGTTCTGCTTTGGAAATATTGTTTCGTGGATTGATTTTGCGCTCACCATCCGGAGAGGAGGGATCCATATCCATCTTGTCCTCAGCTTTGACCTTTCCAGGGAATACATCTCCCAGTGCACTGGCGCGAGCAGCTGCTTTAGCCGATGTGGTAAGAGTATTACGTGGTCGTCTAAGATGTCCTCCAGGGCACTTTCGAGTAAGTTCATGAATTGAGTCACTCTCGAATACACAGAAGAAACAAAAGTTGAAGACACGTCTTAGATACTCAACCATAAGATCAAGCTGCTTCTTCTTAACGAGAAGGTCCTCGTCGTCGACATCCTCGAAATCGAAAGCGCCTTCCTCTTCTTCCTCCCCTTCCTCCATCTCCTCAAAATCTTCACCTTCGTCCATTGCCTCGTCAAGACCAAGCCCATTCTTAGATGTCTTGCTCTTCTTTGGAGTAGGGGCTGTCACTGGTGGTTGAAGACGGCCTTGATTCTTTAGATCATCTACTTTCTCCTCAATCTTCAAGACAGCATTGAAGTCTGAACCGAAATCTTCTTCGAATTTGCTGACAAGGCGAGTGGCCAAATCAAGGTCCTTTTCGATACGTTCAGGAGCCGAGAACAGATCCCAAAGTGCTTTCTTGCGTGGGAGGTTGGGAGGTACATGAACACCGACATGGCATGTAAAATCTCCCCTAACTTCATCCTTGACGGTCTTTCCATTGATAGCTTCGAGTGCCTTCTGGGCAGTAGTGAGTGGAACTGCTGGTTCAGCAGGCACATCACCCTCCTCATCATCTTTGATCTCAGGTCGATCGAGAACGGGAACCGAATCAGGTGCAGGGTGAAGCATAACCCAGCCAATTCTATGGTAACGTTTGCTTGGGTTTGGATCACTTAAACTGAGCCATTTGAAACCACCTTCATCCTCACCCAAATGCTCCTTGCAAAAAGATTCAAGATTTGAACGACTAACGTGTGGCGCAATTGTCTTGATGAGTAATGTAGGCTGGAAAGCATTTTCGTCCCGGATATCACCGCCTCTAGAGGGAACCAGGTCACCAACACCAAGAACTTCGTTGGCCGCGGTTGTTTCTCCCTCTTCTTTCTCAATAACTCCACCGGTTCCGTTACTTTCGCTCTTTGGAATACCTTCTAAAGAGTATTCATCAAAAGTTCCGGATTCGAGGTCTTGTTCCCATTGACTGTAGTTACCGCGGCGGAACTCGTTGACTTGTAGGCGTAAAGCGTCTCGCATCTCAGGTACATATCTTTCCATGAACCATTGTTCACCTTTGTGCTCCTGCACAAATGTACGTGCCATCCTGGCTTGAAGCTCTTCTTTATACGCGTCATAAGCAACTTGGATGCGAGCCTTTTCAGTATCGCGGTCTTCTTCGCGAGGTCTGAAAATTTCACCACGCTTGTGACATCTAATACGCTCCTTTTCTTCCTTGATCTTTTCGTTTGTACGCCACCATTCTCCATAGTATGAGAAACCTACTTGAAAAGGTAGGATGACAGGATCCGCAAGTGGATTGACAGTGATTGGAGGAGGAGGGCCTGAATCTTGACCAGGAACCCATCGATCAATGTTGGCTGGGGCCGGTGACGCAACTCGTCTTCGGTCCTCGCGATCCCTCGATGATCTGTAATCGTGTTCTCTCTCTCTAGCTCTACCAACAGGTTCATAACGATCTACGGGAGATCTGGAGCGGTCGCGGTCGCGTGTGTTTCGACGCTGCCTATCCCCACCGACTAAAAGAACAACTGTGTAAGCATGAGAGCAGATACGTTGCAATAACAAAGCATTGAAAGGTGAAGTCATAGATATAAGAAGAAGAAAAATGCGACATACCAGGAGATCTGCCGCGGTGAAATGATTCACGGTCGCGGTCGGGTCTGGTACCTCTAAAGCCATCGTCGCGTTCAATCTTAACACTTCTGAAGCCATCGTCACGTCCAGCCCAATTTGTTCTTTCAGTTGGTGAACGAGCGAGTGGTGGCTCTCTGCTGTAACTTCCGTAGCCGTCCATGATGTAATTGCTACCGTCCAAAATTACTCCGCCTTTGCCTTTCTTTCGATCTTCAGGTAATGGACCAGTCGGACGTTCTGGTAGGACAGTTTCGTTATTAGAGACCCTTTTGACGAAATCGATGTAGGTAATCGGTTCTTGTCGATTGCGATTGTCAAGTGACACCTGGTGATTGTCGGGAGGAGGTGTTGACAACGAAGCTACTGCTGTTTGATAACATGATTGCCCGTTAGAGGATTGTTCAAAAATGTAATAGAATCAACAAGTGTATGTTTGAATTGGGGAAGTAAAGATGCGATATCAACAGGGAGACAAGAGGCAGAATAGGCAGAGTAGAGAAAAGAGGATTAAAAAAGTTCAGTGCCTATAGATGGCAAGATAAAAAAAAAACGACGACAACTTGTTGTTGTTGATGGATATGCGATCTCTGAATTGATTTTGATGTGATGTGATATGATATGATATTATCAACTTGATTTGATTTCAAGATAGATTTTGAATTAATCGATCAAGAAGAAGAAGAAAAGCAATTGCTATAGATTTTATCGCAATGATAATAATGGGGGATAGGTGCGAAGGTGTTGTTGTGATTTTCTTTTTCTTTTTGAGGGAGACAAAAGTGTGTAAGAAGAATAGAAGAATAGGACTGACGAACAAGATTCAGATATGATCAACTGTTGTTTTGCAGAAAGCTCCTCTACCAAATCAATATTGGATAGATGATGATGTTGTTGATTAATAAAGGTCGTCAATGTCGGAGGATTGGATTCGGGCGGCTGGTCAAAGGGAGCTCTCGCGCTTGACATGCTTACCTAGTCTGGAGGTATCTGTACTTCGTAGTACTAGCCCTGGCGAGGGTGTTGATGAAACTTTACCCAAAGAGTGATTAGGGCAGGTAGCACTGTCCAACTCTGAAGTAGACTAGTGAGCATCGCACTTGCGGAAAGTGGATCGATAGTGGTGACAGATATAGCTTAGTGTGTCTCGGCTAAGCACATGATGAGCCAGTGCATGCTTATAATTGGTTCTCTCACTAGGAATATATGGAGATATCCGCGGCTGTGAAATACTGATGACTAATATTCTAGCCAATGGTATAACTTCTCTCATTCCATATCAACAATACTTCACATTTCAACCAATCATTAAAATGGGTTTCCGAGAGTGGCAAGGATTGAATGCAAGGTGTATCAAACAGCCAATCAAATTCATCCAATTCCCCGAAATCAGCCAAATGCAGTTCTCCATATTGAGATCTTGTATGGAGTGACTTGAGTTCGAAGTACAAGCTACCAGTACGATATTCGGTAGGTACCCAGGCTCGAGCCATGCCAGGTAGGTAGGGAGAATCATTTATAAATATTGTAGCTAGCATACATGAATAGATACCATCATAAGTAGATATATATATAAAGCATCCATAAGATATCTTATTACCTTACAAAAGAATCAATACAGTAAACAACCAGTCATTCCTCACATACAATCATATCAATTCCCCTTCCCAATCCACTCCCCTCCCACACAGACCGAGGTTTCTCAACTTTCTCACTCCACATACTTTTACTGCGTTCGCATAACAAGAGGAGTACGTCATTGAGGGGATGAACTGATTTCTCCACCAGAAAAGGATATAAAGACAACGTACACTCAACTTCCACTCAAACCCTCCTTCTACGCCGCCATCAACAGCTCCATAATCGATCAGAAATTCAATCAATTCACCCATCATGACGACCTTTGTTCCCAGCTTAACGCTGCCGGCAGCCATATTTGCCAATCCAACGGCTTCGGTGCTCTTACCAATTACTCTTGGATCTGCTATTGGTTTCGCAGTTAGACGTAAGTATTGATCTTCTGCCATTTCATTGTTTATTCATCTACGACGAGATCATACATCATGAATCTCTACTGCTCATATATGCTCGACGAGATAGTATACAACGTGAACAAGCCACCATTTCCAACAAATCACTAACACCCATCTAGCAAAAGAAACTCAAAAGACCTACATGGCACTTAAACAACCCCCTTACCGTCCACCTCCATACGTCTTCGGTCCTGCCTGGACTCTCCTCTACGGTCTGATGGGATACTCTGCCTACCGCGCATACTCTACCGGATTATCTCCTCTCGCTTCTACCGAAAAACATCTCCTTTTCAAACAAGGAGCTACACTCTATACCGTTCAGTAAGTGAAGCTCCCTCGCAATTCCCCAAGAACATACTCTCCCTGCAGCACTTCCAAACTCCCAATCCCCAACTCTCAATCCTAATCATCCACACAAATTTCCCACTAATCCCCCTCCCCCACAGACTCGGCCTCAACCTAATCTGGATGCCCCTCTTCTTCTCCCTCAAACGTCCCATCCTCGCAACCATCGACATCGTCGCCCTCACCGGCACCGTCTCCTACTTGACCTACATCTGGGGGCAAGTCGACTCCGTCGCCGCCTGGGCCCTCGCTCCCTACGTCGGCTGGCTCGGATTCGCCACATACCTCAGCGCCGGCGTCGGATATCTCAACGACTGGAACATCAGCGACAAGGAAGTCGAGAAGAGCCCCAAGGGTAAGGGAACAAAGTACGTTGACGAGAAGGAAGAGTAGGGGATGCCAGCGAGCAAATCGAGAGAGACCGAAAACGCACGAAGTACGCGTTAAAAAAATTCACATGCGTGTGCAAATCCCAAGTACACATCTTCTCGGAGGATGGATCGATCATCTCATGTATCTCCTGAACCACAAATTCCGAGTCCATTGTTCCCCGCTGATTTTTCGCACGGCGTTGAATTAATCGTCGTCAGATAATATACCATAGCTTTTAATCATGAATGAAATACTTCTTTTCTACTACAATACAGTACTGTCATATCTACTACTATACTATATACTCCATGCTTCCGAACACATATAAACAAATGTAGGACGTAGCAATACACATCTCATAACATCGAACTTCATCTCGTCTCGTAAAGAACACAAAAAGTGCTAGGAGATAATCTATGAATTAGGGAAGCCATCTTACGCTCTTCCGCCAGCTACCTGGATATCTATATACTCTCTATGCTCTATCTGTGATAATCATAATTTAAACATATACATCTATTTTGTGGCGACCATCTGGATGTACATACATGTATTTTCTACCATGTACCATACCATACCATACTATACCCACCTAGGTACCAGTCAAGAAAAAATCAGTATCACCGAACTAAAACACATAAACACCAAACCAAACCAAACCAAATCAAACACATAAATAGAAACCCAATCTAAACAAAACAAAACACTACATTCTCAAAACAAGTTCTAGATTGTAAATTCTATGGCCCCACTATACTCCATGCTATCTCGTCCAGACCCGTCTATGATATATATAAAAATGCAACGCTCATAAGCTGACTTGCTCCAGTCTCGATTTTTCAAATTCGACACGATAGCCATGAATCCTTCATGCTGATTAGAAATTCACTTGAGCTCAGCTTATCTCACTCTCACCCCTACCCCTCCTTTCCGAGTCAACCGAACGACTATACAGATCTATGATATAATATCCCTGAACGCCTTTTCAACGCCCGCCCCTAATAAATTTTCAAAATTTTCATAACCGAAAGCCAAAAAAAGAGACCCGAGTTCGGTTTTTGTATATCCGGCCACCTTGTGTGGTAAAGTATGATATGCAAAGTGGAAAGCGGCAAAGATTCCAATTATATGTACATGCGCGTCGTGCCGTAAGTAATCAAATGGGGAAATAAGCACTAAGAAAGATGGAAACGGCTCTTTAACCCATCATAAATCATGAATATGAATGCAGAGCTAGGTGCTGATCGCATAACCGTGATACCGCAACCTCGATACATGCCTTTCAGACCATGTTTTTTCCAAAGAAGAGCACCTTCTTGAATGAATGTGGTGCGTGGTGCTGTAGATGAAGTAGAGGCGGTTTGCATGCGAGATTTGATGGTGTCTGCGGGAAAGAAGAGGAAATTATAAGACATGCCTGCTGAGGCACCGGCGAGAGCTTGTTGCCAGAAAGGTAAAGGTGCTAGTTCAGTGGATAGAACGGAAGAAGAACTTTGCGGGCTATTTTTTGCGTTCAGCTTTCGAAAAAGAGAAGTAACGGTCTCTTTGCTACCGAACCAAGCGGCGCATCCACCCGTTTCACGGATTAAAGTGCCTAGCTGCCCATTCCAAAAACCGCGAATACCTTGGTGGTGCCAAACCTCGCGAATAACTGATGAGACTGTTTTTGCAGCGACGGGAACTGAACCATTTGGCGCGGTCGCCGGAACTTGTATTTTGCATTTAACCAGTTCAATAGGGGTGAGGATTAAAGAAGTAAGGGCGCCGGATAGTGCACCAGTCATCCACAATGCCTCCAGAGGAAGTGGTTGATCTCTCTTGTATACTCCAGCCTTCAGAAGTGCTTCTCTACTTGCTTGCTCCCAAACAAAAAGACTGCTAGTCTCTAGAGCAGCACCGACTAGTGGAGCACTGATGCCCCTGTATAATCCTAAGAACCCATCGCTGCGAATTGATTGTTTAAAACAATCAAGTGGTCCAGTATAACGTAAAGGAAGGTGATAAGGCTGTGATTGTAATCGAACTTTCACTGTGTCAAAAGGATATTCAATATATTTTCCAGCTACTCCAGCAATCTGCTCATTTGTTAACAATTGTCTTGCTCAGTTTTTGTTGGTGTAACATACGGAACCGTAAAGGCAATCCTCAATGGAATTCATTAGAGCTTCTTTTCCCTTGGATACTACTTTCTGTGGTGTGTCGGGAGTGAATTCCGCTGTCATGGTTGCTGCCATTATGACTAGACCGTAGTTTTCTTATGCGAAAGTAAAGGAGGATGTTTCCAGTAGAGAAATAAACTGTTATTTGGTTGTAGAAATGTGTGTATTCTTTGGGCTCGAATTTCTACCACTTCAATCGAGCAATGAGTTCGGAAAGGAGGAAGGGGGTTTGAATGGCTCTTTATAAGTTGAGAAGACACGGCAGATTTGGGATTCCTTGTGTGCCGTGTGGATAATGAGGTTGCTGTTCCACGCTGCAAATGAATGACAGTTGCAAGGTAAGGAAACAGTTGATTTGCGTGATTGTTTGCAAGATATCTGCTGTCTTCTGTGGGCAAGATTTTCTTTCCGACAATGGGTTGCACCCAGGTCTCTCTTACTCTCTCGTAATTTATTGCTGTGAGCTCGTAATGATTATAAAACCAGGGTGCGACCCACAGACGAAGAAGGAAGAATTGATCCCCAATAAGCCAACCACATTGCTAGAAGAACATGGTAGACAGCGTAGACTGGGTTTGGCCAAGGTAATAGAGATATATGTAGTGGCTTGAGAGTGGTACTAGTGGAGTTGTTTCGAAGGTTTGAATGTCGTGAATAGGAAAATGAAGTCCGATTATCGTAGTATCATCTTCGGAGGGCTGTCAACTTCCAACTGAGGTGGGGGGGAGGATGGAGCTATTTTTTTATCAGATTGAAAATCTGCGAAAGTCTCCACAATCTAAACAACTTTTTCTTCCAGGTTGGCATTCGGTCCCGTCCTGCGTCTTTAAGAAAGCTGGGGATTCAACAAGTCAGGCAAGATCAGGAGGTACTGGTAGTCATGATGATGGAAAGGATGGACAATAGAATCTGGTGAAGTAATTTGAACCGAGTTTACAGAGTAGAGGATTGGGTTAATTATATACCTAGTATTTAGGTAGGTAACGGATTATTAATAGAATTAATAGAACTTTGAACAGTAACAATAACAATAACAATAACAATGAAATAAATCTTAAACTGATTTCGGATGCCGGTGGACTGACTATCTACCTACCTATCTACCAGTGCCTACCTGGGTAATAATGAAAAAAAATAACTCAAAGAATTTGGGGAAAAAAGAGAGATGAGTCCAGATGGGTTTTAGTCACTTTAGCATAGTAAATTATATACCTAGTCAAGCATTAATGCATACTTACTACTGATAAGCAATCAATCACGCTTATCGGTACGTATGGTTAACGAGAAAAAAAAGTTCCTGCATCGTAATTTATTGTATGCTTTGAATTTGGAATTCCTGTCGACAATTAATTTAGTATACGACGATCCATAACGCCCAAAAATTAAATCCCTCAACCTTCATTCTCACATAAGAATATTCAGATCATTGCCCAATATTCGATCAACATTCCTTTTATCAAAATGTCAACAGAAGTGGCCCCTACCGCTCCTGCAGCGGAGTCGACCGTCCTTCCACAAGGAATGCGCAAGAATGGTACGCATGCGCTCCAATTGATAGTTCTTCATTTCTTCCCGAGTATCAAGCCTCTGACTCAATATACTTAGGCAAGCAATGGCATCCCGTGAAGAAAGCTTTCCGACCAAAGGCTGGAAATACCTCATATGAAAAGAGAAAGGCAAATGATGAGGCTATAGCAGCCACCAAGGCTAAAGAAAAGGAGATGAAGGAGGAGAAAGAAGCTGCAAGACAGGTCAGCGCCATTTCAGCTCTAATTGAATCAAGTCTAATCATTGTCACAGGCCCATATTACAAAGATCAAGGAAAAGCGCGCCAATAAGGAGGAAAGAGAACGATACGAGAAAATGGCCGAAAAGATGCACCAGAAGCGTGTTGACAGATTAAAGAGACGAGAGAAGAGAAACAAGATGTTGAAGTCATGATAAAAAATCTTCCGGGACGGAGCATGGCGCATGGAATAACTTGGAACGCATTGAAAGCAATCGGGGGATATGGGTGATATGGTTGATTTGCGCAACTCACATAGAGCATGTCGAGCGATGTTCAGCTATTGATGGCATGATATATGCCTACCAGAAGTCGGATACAGCAGCACCAACGAGGACTATCTCCTATCATTGAGGATGAAGTCGACCCGAACTGAGCGAAGCTTCTTGGAAGTTGAAGGACGTTATGATATTGCCGAAACAGAAACTTCGACAGCGATTCAACAAGATTTGATCAGAAGTAAGGACCTAGGGTATATTAGCTATTTCAAATACATGATAAATAATATCAGAAATAACCAGAGGATTCTATCTTCCATCGTATCTTTTAAATTGATTTATTAACTCGAACTTTTGACATACCTACCCTGTATATACCATTCATGAACGAATTCGTATAGCAATGTGCTAACGGCCGCCCTATAGTTGCATCAATGGTCATTAAATCTCACCATACAAGCTTCATAGCACATGCACCATTCATCGGAACCTCAATATGAAACGGAACAACATCTGATCACAAACTAAAAGAGTCATGTCTTCCAACGGTGATGGATCCAAATATGTTTCTCCAAATAAACCTCGTCATCAAGTCACACGTTCGGTATCTGAGGTATCATCTCCTCCCCTGAAACCTCACCGATCTCACAACCACCACCACCATCATCATCACCATCCGCATATACATCGCCGAGACAAAGACGAGAAATCGTCTCATCCTACTTTGCAGAAGGTTTTCAGTCCATCTGGAGAATCCAAAAGTGAGGGAGTTTCACCTGATGGGAGCCGGAATGGGAGTCGAAGGGCTAGTATCTTGGGTTCTACTGTGGATGGCTTCGATTTGTTCAAGACCGACGAGAGAAGGCCTTTAAGGGAGGGCGAACTCGAAGCTGAGAAACAGAAAGGCGCCATGATGGCCACGTTTGTCCTACTTAACACTTCTAGTCTCTGATACTAATGCGCTGGATTAGGGAATTGCGAAATACCTTAACGGATGTGAACGTTGTGGCGGACAATGCTTCCCGACATTTAGATGCAACATACTATTCCGTCTTGGAGAAATTAGGGGATCTTCATAAGACGATCGGATCCCTCAAAGAGTTGGCAGCCATGACTAGACAGTTGAATGAGGATTTCAGTACAGAGGGAGAAGAGCTTGTCCAAGAAAGTCGAGCACAACTTGAAGGATTTGAAGAATTCGAAGCACAGGAACAAAAGATCAGAGCATTGGAGAAACGTGTGAAGGAAGGACGAAATACAGTCACCACATTGAGTGGACGGGTAGACGCTGTTAGAAAGCGCGTCAAAGGCTGGGAACAAGCAGAGGAGGAATGGCAAGACAAAACACGAAAACGACTCAAGATGATGTGGATTTTGATGTCGATATGCGCAACTATTCTACTATCCATCGTCATTTTGGCATATATTCCCTCGAACGGGCAAGGTCATGGGACTATAAGATTCAACATTTCTAATTCGACCGCGCCGAGAGAGTTGGAAAAGGCCCAAAATGAGACCAGAAATATGCTGAAGCCTACTCTCGATATATTGGAAGGTTCAGCACCTGGAAGTGAAGTCAACAAGGAAGCAGAGAAGTTGGCAGAGGACCCAAGACTTAAAGTACTCGACGAGTTATAATTTATTGGCACGAAAATGTACACACATACATACAGGGCTTACACCTCTCAGCCCAAGTCTAATTATGAATAGTACCACTTTTCCAAGTATACTACGCCTTACGGGACCCTAGAAATCAGTGGGTCGACGGTCCCATGACTTATAATATTGACATGCCGAGCAACCTGATGCTGGTAAAGGTCGAAACCAACATGCCAATCCATAGATCTACCTACCCATCTTCTTCTTCTTAGCATCGTTGAACATTACATTACATATCATACACATGAACCGTACGCATTAGGAGTGACACTCACACGTACCTACCTATTCACAAGTAGTTTTGGAGGTTCGCGTCTTTTGATACTTGGTAGATGGATAGACGGGCGAATGCCGAGTCGATTATGCAAGGTTCATGTCCAATGATATACGAATATACGCGTATAATAAAATGCTTTACATTTACGAAGCTTGGAATCTATTTAACATTTTGGATTCTAGAATGGTGACATGGTGCCGTGGGCCGTGGACCGGCACACAATAGACATCAGTCGTCATTTCCCTAAGCCACCCATCAAATATCCCTGTATTGTAATTGTCAAGATATTCCAAAATCCCAATACACGGTATATATATATTGCCTGACTATTTCCTTGTGCTTCTGCTTCTGCCTCTGCTGTGAAGATCAAGTAAGAACAATATTTGTGATTTGACTTCTATTGATCATCCGTTATTTTTAGAATCGTTCATGTTGGTGACATACCAATCTATTAATCCTTGACGCAAGAGCATCTGTTAAGGTTTTCACAAGAAAAGCATTTACCTACCAGGGCGTATTTCAAGAGCTACCCCGCTGCACCGTAAGCTTCTTTCCGCACTGCATAGCCCATCGCATCCGACCTCAAAACTTAAAACAACTTGGAACACTGAAATCCCTCAACCTGCAACAACATTGCAAGAATCTAGGAGACGCGCAATATTCTTCATTAATATACCTCAAGATACTCATAAAACCAACAGTTCGATGAACGACGAAAATAAGATTGAGGGAAGAAATCCCATTATCCCTCCTTCCTCTCCCTCCAAGATGGCAGCAAATGGCGCCATACTGTCGCCCACAAGAAGCGTCTTTGGAGATGATAAAGGACAAGCACTTACCGGAAAGCAAGAACATTGTATGTATTCGACAATTCCACCCTCTTTTTCTGGCATAGGTACTGACTCTTTCTCTACAGATCTAAAGCGCGAACTAATCTCGCAACAAGTGAAATTCGAAATCACCGAGTTGAATTCTCCCACGGCATTACAGAGATTCGGCGCCCCGTTCAAATCTGATCGCGGGGAGGTATCTCCTTTAGATTCCGAGCTGCCGATTCTCAGATACATATTTGTACATCATGTTCGCGAGTTTCCATTTTTGGATAAGGCGAAGGAGAAGGAGTTTTGGCAGGATAAATTACAAGTGGTGAGTTAGAGAAAGTCTGAATCTTTGAGGGAAAGTATCTAACGGATCTACTATGCAAGTTCCTACAGTCGTTCGCTGAGAAGCACATCTCGTCATCCGAAGATAGGCTCGAAGAAACAAAGCGCAGAAAGCTATCACTGAAATGTCAGAAGCTGGTGGAGTTGATGATGGTATCTGGTATACCTACGGCTTCAGGATATGAGGAGAGAATTAGGTTTTCTGAACTCGAAGTTGTCGATGCGGGCGCTATCGAGCATGGAGTTCTATCAACTTTGCCAGAAGGCCATTATTTGCATGGTTGGGATGTAAATGTGGCGGGCGTGAGAACGACAAAAGTCAAACGAAACATCAGATACCACAAACATGCTGTGAGTTGATCATGGCTGTAAATTGTGGAACAGCTACTTATACCTCTTTAGGAATTCGTTCTTCGAGTCAAGAGGAAGGGAGAAATCCCATATTTCATCGGACGCCGATATGGTGACTTTAGTAGACTTCACAAGAGGCTACGAACAGAACTTCCTGGCAAAGTCCTCCCACCAATGCCTCGGAAAAACAAGGAGAGTTCAACTGCATCGAACCTGATCAGTGGTCTCACGGGTGGCAAAGATTCCGATGCGTCCTCGATGTCCTCGGTTTCGACAATGGGGACTATGGGCGCCGAATCTGGCATGAAGAATTTGTCTGTCCGTGGTTAGTTCACAATATTCTACTAAGATTCGATGTATCACAACTAACTCTATCAGATCATCGTCGCTCTGGATCAGCGGCGTCATTCGGAAGGTCATCTCCGAGACCATCAACATCATCCCCACGACCATCAGTAGATAGGCTTCTCAAACCTCCTTCAACTCCTGTTACAGACTCAGATGTCAGTTTTGCTGATAGACTATAATAACACGAGCTAATTTTTCTCAGGGCATAACTCTATGGCGAGAAAATCAACGCATATCCTTGAGAGCATTCCTCCGTGGTCTTCTTGCCAATCCTCAAATTGCTGGAACCCGAGCGATGCAAGATTTCCTGTCACAACAACCTATCAAACTAACCGACGATGATGTAGAGGATGTCGAGAGAAGAAGGCTAATGGACGAAAAGAGGGTCGTAGAGCAACAGCAGTTTTATGAAATAGCCAGGAAGCGCGCCGCCGAACTAGACATCTACATGGAAGAGTATGTATCCCTGTTTGAGACTCTCTTTGTACGCTCACTAATTAATTTAGATTCCGCCGCGACATTGTGGAAAGCAATGGTCTTACCAAACTATTCAAAGAAATTAAGGATAAGCCAACCATTCAAGATCTTAGCATTCAATACCAGAAATTTGCGGAATGGTTACGAATTGAAGTAGCAGCGACTCTTTATCATTTATTTCTAGCAGAAGACAACTCCCCGGAATTATTCGCGCAAGCTAAAAAGATTCATTCAATGATTCCATACACAATTATCAAGAATGCAATTCGAATAGCTAATCCAGCGGCTGTGATGTCTAGCATATTAGACATCTTCCTAGCTCAACCTTTCGGAACGAGATCGCTTATGCAAAGAATCTTTTCTTTGACCCTGAATGATGGGATCCGAAGCTTCCAAAAGTCTATCGACGGCCTCCAAAACAAGATCAATGAGCCTGTCTTTTGTGACAAATTGAAGAAGTTCTCTGACAGTCCTGAAGATTTCAAGAATGCCATAAGACTTGATGCAGAAGAGAGTGGCGTGGACTTGATTGTTTCCATCCTAAGGTCAGAAGATATCGAACCGCCCCTGAACTCGACCCAAATCGGCAAGATATACAACGCTTATGTTGCTTGGAATAATGCTGTGGAGAACGTTGATGAAGAGATGAAGCAAGGAGCACAAATTTTTTCATACTTAAAGCAACTCCTCAAATTGTACACGAGACAGCGAGATAAGGCTATGATGCTAAACATGATTGAAGAGCCGGTTACGTTACGCCTTCTTCGCGACTTGTTCACAATCTTCTATGAGCCTTTGGTGCGAGTATATAAATCAGCAAACGTGTACGACAGTGTCACTGATTTTGCCGAGTTCATTGAGGATACGATAAAAGTGAGTGTATTTCGATTCCATCGGTAGACGAAAGTGACTAACGGTATCCAAAACAGGTTGTTGAAAAGTGCCGAGAGCAAGATTTCTCAGCAGACCCAAATCAAACAGTTCAAGCATTTATCGATTTATGCCAGCGACACGAGCACAATTTTTACAAATTCGTTCATGAAGTACATACACATGATAATGGACTGTTTACCCAATTGATGGGTTGGATAGAGGGAATCCTGGAGTTCCTTCGTCAAGGTCCCAAGGGTGGAAAACTTGACATCAATGCTCTTGTTACAGGTGCCGTAAGCGTAAATCAACTAGATAAGGAAGTTGCTATCAACGAAATAAACCAATTGATTACTTGGCAAGAAGCACGTAAGAAGTGGCATTCTGATAAAACAAGACAAAAGATGGCGGCAGAAGGCACAGGCGCCCCAGAGCAGATACCCGGCGCACTAGCGTTCAAGAGTACCGATTTCGGATTGGACGAAGGGGATCTCGATGATATCAACTATGGAGAAGACGAAGACAGTAGTGATGAGGATGAGGAAGATGATGAGTTGGACCCCATTGCTGCTGAAAGGAAGAGAAGAGCAAGGAAACAGGATCATTTAAGGAGAACTGCCGGTGAACCTGCTAAGCCAGAAGTGGCTGAGGTGTATAAGTTGAAGGAGGGATTCTTGAGCATGCTAAGAGGTGTACTTGCTGAGTAGAATAGTTTTTGGAATGGAGATTTTGTCGGGAAAAGAATAGTCTGGTATCTTAGGGGAGGAGTTTGGTTCTGGGACAAAATCAGTGTTGGGCAGGATGGAGGGATGGGAGACTTGGAGGAATTTTTTTTATGAGTTGATTGATATCAAGATCAGACGGTTGTAATAGATGCAGTGAAAGAAAATAGCTTGAAGAGCGGATATTAGAGCGAAGGATACCACAGATAATAAATGCATTTTTATCGACATTTTCGGGGGGGTTTTTTTGGTTTGGTTTTGGTTATGGTTATGAAGTAGATCAATACAATTGAAGTGCTGAAAATTCCTGGGAAGTTGAGTGTGTTGTTGGGTTTGGATGTCTGATGATGTGAGCCGAGAAGATGCGAACGATATACTTTGTGAGTTGTGGGATTGAGATTGAGATTGATAGGAGGAGGACGTCCGTTGGAAATATATCTGATGGGATTTAAAGTGATATTGATGAGTATAAGATTAAGTACAGTTATGAGGATGGTTGAGATAGAAGAAATACATATGTAGGTATGAATAACCGTGTATTTATTATGAATATATTATTAATATATACAAATTAGGTGGGTGGGTAAAGTAAAAAAAGAAAGGGGAGGGGAGGAGGGTCCAGGAGAAGATCCATAGCAGCTCCTCGATCAAATCACTAAACACAAGTAGCCCATTTAGTGGAAGTATGGAATCGTTAAATTGGGGGTTTCTATATCTATAAACAGAATTGAGATAAACCAATCGTTGTCTATTCCTTCTCTTGGCTGTTCTATACTTTTTATTCTCTCATAAATCACTTTCTGATACTTCTTATCCTCTAATAAATCACTTTCTGCGATGTCCACCAAAACCCCATTGGATCTGGTTTGCGACTTTGATATCTACACCCAACTCATCCGCAAATGTCCAGACGAGACCTGGGTTCTTCTGGAACATTCTTCCGATGAATATCATGTTAAGCCCACTATCCTTCAACAAATCGTTTGCTTGCACACCGGAAGTGATAGATCCGACTGTTCCCACCAAAAGGCTGTTGCCCACGGCCAATTTGATCTGGCGAGCGAACGGAGCCTGATACCCGGGGCCCCCGTTAATCTTTTGTCGGGGATCGTTTCCACCGCTGGATACATCGAGGGCGTCGACACCGCGGGCGGCTAGGATCTTGGCTAGTTTAATCGATTCTTGTATATCCCAGCTGGGTTCAGGGGCAAGATGTTCCAGCCACTCGCTTGCACTAACCCGGAAGAAAAGTGGCATGTCCTTGGGCATGATTTGGCGTGTGAGATCTACGATTTCGAGGACGACACGGGTGCGGTTCTCGAAACTGCCGCCGTAATCGTCTGTGCGCTTGTTGGAGGCTGGAGAGAGAAATTGGTGGAGAAGGTAGCCGTGTGCTCCGTGGATCTCTATGGCCTGTAGACATTCGTTAATGTTAATTGGCTGTCTTCAGAGTCATCGACAAGGAGGATTGGGAACTTACGTCGAATCCGGCTTCGATGGCTCGCTTAGCTGCGTCTCCAAATGCCTCAACGAGAGACTTGATATCATCACGGGTCATCTTGTGAGGAATGATATTCTTGTCCTTGTAAGCGATGGGACTAGGCCCCTTTACATTGTCCGGCCATCCATGAGCCTGGTAATAGCATGTCAGTCATTCAAATTCATTCGACCTGACTCATTGGGCTTGGGTCTTATTACCGGTGTGAAGCCGTCGTTGTCATATCCATTCACCTATGAAAATCAGCATATATTACCTCTCAAATGTCATAGATCACCTGAGACATACATTCTTTGAAACAGCAGCAGGACCGCGTGACATGCTCAACCACGGGGCCACAGTACTTGCTTTTCGTCCGGCATGAGCAAGTTGAATACCAATCTTCTGGCCTTGACTGTGTGCAAATTGCACAATGCGTCGCAAAGGCGCAATCTGAGAATCCTTCCAGAGCCCGCAATCCTCAGGCGTGATACGTCCTTCGGGGAGAACGGCCGTGGCTTCGATAAAAGAAAGCCCCGGACCGCGCGAGATAATGCCCCCGAGATGCGCAAGATGCCAGTCAGTCTGGTGGCCGTCTTCAGCGGAATACTGGCAGAGGGGTGAGAGCTTTTGGGTTGTTAGTTATGGGTGATATGAGTAGATGGTGGATTGGATTTGGGTTTGTAGAGAATAGAACGGGAAACACGTACCAAGATACGGTTTTGGAGCTCTACACCTCTAATTTTCAAGGGAGTAAAAAGGGGTGGGATTTCTTGTCCATCAGTCTTTGTGGCAATGGCTGTGCCTGCAACTGGATCCTGCTTGGGTGTGAAATAGGGAGTCTGTGTAAAGTTAATATTATGATAAAACGGAAATTGAGAGAGATGTATCACTGCCGTTTGGTGCAGGCTCGTTTACAATCTCGATGATCGATGACTCGTCGTCGACGTTTAGGTAGCGTGTTGCACCCATCGTGGTTTATGGCTATCGTAGGTGAATGTTACGCTGCTATATTACGATGTGATGCTTAAAACAAGAACTTTGTAATGAAGTCCTAAGAAGTTGATATTATACGACAATGATTTCTCCTCCAACTCGAAGTGCAGGACCTTTTATATATATATATGAGGAGAGAGGCAGAATCACGAAGCTTTGAAATCCACGATGACACTAGGCGATAAGGTAGTAACAAAATAGTGTTAATCATCAAACAAATTTCTACAGCAGGAACGATGGCGTCTACGAGTGAGTGCTCGAGTAGGCACAATCATGGCCAATACTCTTTCTTGTCCAGAAGGAAGGTGCTCAAGCCAATCGGGGGATACGTCATACCTTGTAACTTATTATAGTGGAAACGGATGGATGGCCACGACCACTAGTAGCGAGTTAGCATCATATCAGATCATACCATTGTCTCAACGACAGGCCATCGATGATAGTATCAGACTTCAATGTCAGAGATAAACACCTCATACTTAGTAAGCTTGATACCTTAGCCATGAATTTCTGTGTTATCTTGTGTTGTCTTGCATGAAATTGTATTTATAAGCCGGACGAAAACTCCCTTCTTCAAATTTCATTATGTTATATGATGTTAGTACATTTCTGCGGTAGGTATATAGACAGCTTCTTCTTGAAATGTGGAGGTCCACCGGACTTCCGACTACTTAGCTGCTTAAATGTTGAACTAACGATGTGGGGCAGAGTGCCAATATTTACTTCCGGTGGGCTAAGATGATAGCTCGAAGATCTTTGATGATTTGACATGAAGAAGTATAGTGTGGAAGTGTGAAAAGTTCACCGGTCTACCTATCAACATGTTCAATTCCGATGACAAAGACGGGTATGGTATGGGACGGGTCGAATAACTAGATTAGATGTTCGGTCGCTAGTACGAATTTGTATAGGGTAGGTTCTGGGTTAGGTTTCAAATTATTTGCTTAATGATCGTTCATCCTTTTGCCCCTCGTTCCCCCGCTTTTTAGTCGACAGTTATGTGATAGGTGCAGAGCAGAGCAGGCAGAGTAGAACATAGCATAGCATACTTACGTTCAATAGGTACGCATGGAGGTGAAGCCATACTCGTTATTACTAGGTTCTCAGCCTTCAGATACGTCAAAGCCTCGGAATCTCAAAGGTCGCTAGAATGGCGGAAAGCGAAAGAGGAAAACAACATCAGCCTCACTCGCTTACTGTGATAAAAAATTGAAGGTTTGGAGAAACATGCAAGTTCACACATCTGTAGAGAAAGCCTTAGCCAACGTGATGATATGTCTCTAGCTTCTAAGCTCTAGCTCGGCAGCTAACTTTATTTTCCTCGTGTCCAAAGTTTATTTCAGCTTGAATTCCTCACAGAGCATAGTTAACCTTAGGGTTTTACTTGCTGTATAATACTTGGCTGTTCAATAGGGAAAATATGATTCAGTGTCTTCATGGAGTGTATAATAAAGATGGTATAGAATATTTGTTCCATGAGATACTCCACATTAATTGACATGACGTCAAGTATGTAGCTCGACTTTTGTAAGTTTCTCTTCATCCGTCGAAATTTTTCCTTCAATATCTGATTTCAAAGCACACCCGAATTCTAAAGGTTGGATGACCGACCATTTTCTACGCTAAAAGAGTTATAACTACAGCTCTTCTGCTACCCCTAATTCCACAAATTATTCGATTAATCAATTACATATTTCATTGATCTTCTGCTTCTCTGAAATCCACTACTTTCAATCATCTCAAACCATTATTCTCAAGAACGATCACGTGATGTCTCGTCACAAAGTTGGTGTTTTCCCCGCTTCAGGAGGCATCGGAGGTAGCACAGTCAAGCATCTGCTTCCCCGTCTCCCAGCCCACGATCTAGTTTTTGTCGCGCGCAATCCCGCAAAACTAGAATCTGCTAAATCTGCCGGCGCGGATGTTCGTCAAGCAGACTATGACGATAATGATTCCCTAAAAGATGCATTCCAAGGAATCGATACTCTCTTCCTCATTTCCTACGCATCAATAGAATATGAGCATCGAGCAGAGGTAAGTTTCCGAGTTCGGTGGGCTACCCATTCCCACCACTCTATTTCCATCTCCAGAGCCCGAACTAACGAATCACAGCGTCACCGCACCGCCATAGACTTCGCTCTCCGCAGCGGCGTCAAATACATCTTCTACGGCTCTCTAGGATTCGCCGGCAAAGAAAGTAGCCAGGAATCCGTTGCCCACGTCATGCGCGCCCACTTGGACACCGAAAAATACCTCGAAAATTGTACGCGCACCCATCCCGGTTTCGGATACACGATTGTGCGCGAGGGACTCTATTCTGAATCTTATCCCCTCTATACCTCATTTTTCGACCTCAAGAATCCCGTCGACGAGATCTGCATTCCGCATGATGGATCCGCACCGGGAGTCGCATGGGTCAAGCGAGAAGAGCTCGGTGAGGGCACTGCGGAGCTTCTCTCTCGTTTTGTGAAGGATCCCGCGGGATTCAAGTACCGTCTTCAAACGGTTCTTCTTTCCGGACCAAAAATCCTCACTCTGCAGGAGACAGTGCAGATTCTCGGAAAGCTTGCAAAGAAAGATGTGCGCATTCGTCAGGTTTCCAATGAGGAATTTGCGAAGCAGCCGCAGAATCCACCAAATTTCACATATCATGGAGTTGATCTTTCGATGCTTTGGACGACGGCTTTTGAAGCGTTCCGTAGAGATGAGGCGGCGGTTGTGTCACCTTTGTTGAGGGAGTTGTTGGGGCGCGAGCCGGAAGATTTCGAGACTACGATTGCGGCGTCGTTGTAAGTTGTAGGGAAGAATGGGTTTATTGGAGTTGATACAATTGGTTGGATGGAAATTTTCGAGTTTGGTGGTTCATGGTGTGTAGCTATCATATAAGATAGAACAATAGTAAATATTAAAAATAGATGGATAATATTTTCAAGTAAATTCCGGCTGAATATTCATCGAAAACATCTTCATTCGTTCACTTTATATACTATCCATATCAACAACTTTGACATGGGTACATTCTCGTCCCAATAGTTTCGAACGGCTCTTCCGCAAAAAAGCAGTCGAATCACTCCAAATAATAGATATCAAGATGTACATAAAATAGCATCATAGTGACTTACATTATTCACAAGCCGTCAAATACTTCATCCTACCAAAAATACATTATCACAAATATATAAGTAGAGAATCAAGTGCATAATACCTATTTTTCCAACTTTTCCGACAAGGTATCTGCAAAGTAGAGAATTACATAGATAGAATGTTTTCTGGCATCAGAATCGGGTTTACCTGCTTCCAATCTCAAGCAATAAACATTTCAGGAGTTAGAACACATTTGATAATCTACAGAACAAATTGATTTTCTTTCTATCGAAGAGATCAATATCGATATCGAGAAGAGATAGCTGTATATTTTATATGATGAGCCTCGATATTCTTCTCCGCTAGTTCAGTATAGAGTCCGGTGGAAGGTCTAGTGTCTAGTGTCCACCGGGTAGCGAAGATCACTTTACAGAGTAAATCTGCTCAAATATGAGATCAGATGCAGGGATTTTTGAAGGGAATTTATATAGAGGAGAAAACCTTTGATATATCAAGTAGCAGATTCAAATACAGATTTAATCAAACAAACTTTTCAAAGAAAAAAAATCAAGCATTCCCTAGAACCAAGCACCTCTCCACAAAACACCATGACCACCTCCCACGCGCGCCCAGACACCGAAGCAATCCCCTACCAAGGCGAGCCCCTCCCACACGTCGCCTCGGACCTCATAATCCCCAACGTCCTCTCCTTCGACTGCGACGAGAGGCTCTGGGTACCACAGGCCCCCAACGTCTGGTTTCGTCCGCTCGTGCTCTGCGTTTCCCAGGGCTATTTCGTCAACATCCTACGAGTGCGTCGCTCTGGGATTCTTTCACGACATCGGAATTCCGGTCCTGTGCATGCGACGACGCTGCGGGGAAAATGGCATTATCTGGAGCATGATTGGTGGGCTACCGAAGGAAGCCATGCTTTTGAGCCGCCGGGGGATATCCATACATTAGAAGTGCCGGAGGGAGTGGAGGAGATGATTACGCTGTTTCATGTTACGGGTGCTTATATTTATGTTGATCCCGCTGGTAATCCGGTGGGGGTGGAGGATGTTTTCTCGAAGCTTTCGAGCGCAAAAGCACATTATGAAAAGGTTGGGTTGGGCGCAGATTTTGTCGATCAGTTTGTGAGGTGAGCATAGAATATTCCTCCCAAAGGGAACATCGAAGATCGCGCTGTCATCACTGCAAATTGCCCTCATTCACCTGTATTATATGTATTCATATAACAGCTCGATACCTGGGTACAATTAAATCTCCCGAAAATAACAAATTGATGCGAGTGATCTTAACATGACAACTGCGAAAGCGTCGAAAAGAAAATAGGATATTCGATTACAATAGTTCGTTCCCGTGAGTTCAAATTTTCTTCCAATCGTCCAATAGGTAGGCAAGCCTTTGCTTACCCGAAATTGGGTCCCTTATCACCAACAGAGGGATCCCAATTCCACATCCAACACTGCCCATATAGGTCGCAGGAACTCTGCCCTAAAGTCTCGTTTATGTCGAAAGATTGAACTTCTTCCGGTGGGATAGTGATAGGATCTTTGGAGTCTTCAACCGCTACCTGTCTTTGTGGTCCACATGTATTGCCACATAAACCAGTGGTGTTCATAGAAAATGTTTCTGAACTTGTTACCGGATGTGAGTTTTGCCAGAGAACTATGAGTCAAAATGTTAGCTCGGTGCGAATTATTTTTAAAAGCAAAATGACATCTGGAACAAGAGGCAGATAACAAAGGCTATGGAATGGAGTCTAAAATACCTTGTTGGATTGACTCGAGGGCATTATCAATTCCTGCATCAAAAGACCAATTGTTCCAGTCCATTCCAATACCAACTTCTTGCGCTAGCCTCGTTTCCGCTGCTTGCGGCTGTCTGTCCCCATCTTGACGGGAAGCTTGCACAGGATCCATCACAAGGCTTTGTGAAGTCTGCAGCGGCGGAGATCTCGGCAGTGTTGCCTTATTTTGCACAGGATGACGAGGTAGCTGATGGATTTCTTGCTCACGCTGCGGAAAATTGGAAGCGACTTTGCCAGTCTCCAGATTTAATGGAGGACCGTCAAGCATTATCTCCATTTCTTTTTTGAATATGAGCCGGAAAAGCTGCTCCAAAACCTTCACCGTTTGTAATGGAACGATGGATGATACCGCGAGCATTCTCTGGAGGGATATTGAATTCGACACCCCTCTTTTTGCATCTTGTGCTTGCTCCGAACCTGGGTCGGATAGGGCAACCATGCCTAATGTGACCCCTGCAGTAAAATTCTGAATAGCGACATATGCAACAGCATGAGTGTCTCGAGCAGCCAGGAGAAGATTTGCGTAGCGCGGTGAAATGTTACAAGTTCGCCTGGCGCAATGCCTGCATTGTTCCAAGCTTGTGGGAAGTAAATGAGACGTGGCAGATGTAGGAAGTACAGCCAAGCAATGGTTGTATCGAAGGAATAGCCGATGAAGAATTATTTGGATATTATCATATGCTAGCTGCAACACAAGAGCTTGTAGCTGGAACAACCTGCATACCTTGACCTCGGAAGCTGAAAGATTGCTAACATCGAGATTCGTGTTTGATTCCAGCTTTAGTTCTGGAGGCTGCCGGTCAAACCACCTCACGAGATTTGTATTAATCGATATAGCTTGTTGAGCCATATTTGAGGGATTTGAGTTTTTTAAATTATAAATGTCACCAATAATAGGAGATGCAATATTATACAAAGCAAATTTGAATCGATGGTACGAGTTTAAGGTGACTTGAGTTGAAGAATCCGCATCCAGAAGTTCTAGAGAATCCAACAATGGATGGACGCTGGAGGCATCATTCAAATTACCAGGCATGCGCACATCGCAATCAGAATCGTTGATGGACAAGGGCCGCCCATATGTAATCGACGAGAACTTGAGAGAAGATTTAGTTGTAACATAACAAAAGAACTTCGACATTCAGAGAATTAATAATATATAGAATCTAGACTTACCTATCATAAACATACAGTGCCCACCATGTGCGGCGACGAACCTCCTTCACAGTCTCGGTGAGAGGTCCCCACAAAGACTCCTTGTGTAGTCCAATTGCCTGTGAGCTTCGTATCCCTGCTCCCAAAATTGCCAGAGCTAGGTTTGGTCTACCATTGTACATGTAAAATGAACTTAGCAAAACACAAACCTGGACCGACTCAATTCCACCGATATCGATAACATCAAAGAGATGTGCTTGAACTTCTTTGAGCATTTGCTGCTGAAATGCCTCTAGATCCAGATGCGTCCTACAGACTTCCAAAGCTTCTTCATTAGTCGTGTACCGCGCCCCCATGGTAAATACCATTAGGAAAAGTACAACGCTTCCAATTTGACGGGGACTAGCCGCTTGACTATCCATCACCTCCTTGTACTCGCTTTCAAAGGAAGCTTCGTGGAAGAGCAACATAAACCAATGCACCGACTTTCTGTAGGATTCTAAAAGAAAATCGCAAACTGGCCGTGGTGGGAAGGCAAACCCTGGAAATAGCGAGTCTAAGCTAACTGACTCGATTGTCTGGCGATCTTTGTTTTGGGTATTTACGAAGTCTCCGCCGGGAATAGCGTTTGTACTATAGCTTTCTGCTGAAGAATTGATTGATTCTTGCTTGTGAATATGAAAGAGCTGTCCATGTTTAGCGATTAGATCTTACAGGTTGCCGAAAGGGTGATCCTCTCAAATGTAGTGTTTACTTACCTTACTTGTAAGTCCAATCGTAGACATCTCAGCATACTTATCTGGCGCGGGGAACGGTGTAGTTTGTCGAGATGCTGTGTCATCATCATGCAGTAAGTTTGACAGGGCTGGACTTGAATATATGCCCTTTTCTCCTTGATTAGGGGGTTGAGGATGATCTAGAAAATCTTTAGTTCGCGAATTTGACGGTCCAGAGTCCCATTCTTTTTGGGTGGCCGAGGGCGTCCCCAAAGTACTAGGGGCAGTGGTACTTTTCCGGGCCGCTTTTCTTCGAGTCTGCTTCGATTTTCTTTCAACGAGCGTTCTGGTCAGCTTTCATAGAATCTATAAGCTTGTACAGCACATACCTTGAAGCTCCAGACGGTGTAGTTACACATGAAGCCCCTGAGCGAACGCATAATAGACATGGTTTTTCGATATCGCACTAGATGTTTTTAGCATGTGATTCCCAGCATTTTGAAGCATGATTGAACTACTTATCCAGGAATAGAACAAACCTTAAGCTTTTGCCTCTGACAACGATCACAGGCATGTCGACAGCCGCCAGATGACGGAGTCTGAGTAGTGGTGGAGACTCCATTTTTTGAGGGATCAGTATCTTGATCCATGGCAGCCAAGCGATTATTGCGTATATGACCTTAAACTTGAGTGATCGAGTTCATAATTTGAAGTATTGACTACCAGATAGAGGGTCAAACTTCCGTGTGGGTGGGAAGAGGAAGGGGGTAACCTTAGTTCTGGGACCGATTAACCGATATCCCTACATCGCGCACGCCCCTGTATCGTGCACACTTTTATTTCTTTTAAAAAAGATATTCTAAATTCAATATATAATCAATGAATCATTGAATTTTATTAATAATTATATATAATATATTATATTACTATTTATTTCTTATAAAGTAATTAAAATATAAAAATAATTATTATATATAATACAATTTCAATATTAAAATTATTAGTATAAAAATATTATATATTAATTTATTTATTAATAGAAATAGCAAAAAATTGATTTTCAATTTTTTTTTATATTAATTTGAATATATTTTAATATAAAGAATTGAAAAAAGTAAGTTTTATATTATAAATTTGATATTATATCAATATATTATTTAAGTTTCTATAATAATATTTTTAAATAAATTAATTATATAGCAAGTATTTTATAAATAATTTTTAATTTTTTTAATTATATAATAGTATTATAGATATTTTGATTAGAAACTAAAATAATTATATTTTATTAAATATATATATATATTATTAATTATAAAAAAATTATTAAAATTAAATATTCGACTTTATAATTAACTACTCAGATTGTTTTAAAACAGATTTTTTAAAAAATTTTAATAATAGAATAATTTGAGTATTAAAAAAAACAGAAGATATAAATTAAATGACTTTATTTCTATAAAAATTTAGAGAATATTAAAAATTGAGGATTTTTGTTTTAAAAAAAATTCTTTAAATATAGATTTATAATATTCTTATTTTGTTCCTAAAAAATCGATTTATTATTACAAACTTAGAATATTTTCATTTTTAATTTATTATTTTTTTGTTTTTATAGATGAACTTATAATAGAATTAAGTTATAATTCCTAATTATTTATTATTTTATATAATTTATTATTATTATAATTATATATTTTTCTAATAATATAAAAATGCTTTTTTCTAATTAAAATCTATAATAATTTGCAATTTGTAAATCTATAACAAAACATTTTAAACTATTTTAAAAGATTTTTACATTCTTTTATTTTTAAATATTATACATATTTTGAAAATTAGATTTAAAACTAATTTTTTATATTGTTGTCAGAATTTCAAATTTTTTCAATATTAATAAGATAAAGAATCCGAAAAACGTTATTTTAATCATAGAAATGTATAATCTAAATTTTTATTAAATTATTAAATACTGAAAATATTTTTTTAAAATCGATTAATATTCTATTTAATATTTCAAATTTATCAAAAACTTATTATTATATTTCATTAATCTTCAATCTATTTTTTATAAATTTTAGTATTATTATAAACAGTTTTGGATTTATAATCAATTTTTAATTCAATAAATTAAAGCGTGCAAGATATAGGGTCGTGCACGATGCAGGGATATCGGTTAACACAATTAAGCTTTTTTGAGATGTCATTCATTATTTAACCTTACCTTTACCACGAGATAAATACCAGAACTCTTTAAGTGATTAATAATATAATATGTAGGATCATGATTCAAGATGCACTTACTTGGCTATCAGGTAAAAATTGAATTAATAATAATGGATTGAAGTCCTTCAAACACTGTTTGATACAATAATTTCTAATAATTATTTATAAAAGATATAACGTAGTTTAACACCGAGTAGCCCATATCACCAAGTAGCCCACTTTCACCTCAATTTACATCTTTCTTTTTCAATATATGTTTTATCAATAATCTATAATAAATTCGAATAATTAAAAAGCTTATATATTCTTTATTATTGAAGTTATTTATAAAAATAAAAAATTAAGTATTTGAAAAATTGTTATATTTTATAATATCCTTTGTATAACTTTTCGATATAAAATAAAAGGTTTATTTCTTTATATAGAAATTCAAGTTAATAATTATAAGATTATAGAATTAGAAGAAAAAATAATTATTTAATATATATTTGATATAAATTTAAAAGGATTTTTATTTAAATTAAAGAATATAGAAGATATAGCAAATTATATTCTTGAATTGAGGGGTGTGAAATGTATTAAAAAGCTTTAGACATATTGATTTATAAAACATCAAATTGAATTAAAGATGTGTTTTAATTGTGTTTATAACTTTCAAAGAGCTTTTTACAAAGATTCTAAGTTTATTGAAAAGTGGTTTTAATTGGTTGTGAATATGTGAGTGAAATATAGCATTTTGGATAGCGATTTTTATAATTTCGATAAAATAAACTTTATAATAGGGATTATATATATAGTAATAGTTGTTATTAATGCTAAGAGATGTGGTAGAAATAAATCAGTATAATTAGACAATCGAAAATAGACTATAGTAATAATATATGGAAATACAAAAAATGAAACTATTTCCTTATTTCTAATAATTCAAGGATAGATTTATTTTTCCAATTAATATATTAAAACTAATCTTTTTATGGAATGGATTATTAAATCTATATCTAATAAATAAACAAATAATGAGATAGATTTAAAATAATTGAAATATTTCGATAAGTATATTAAGAATTGAAAAAAGGGCAAATATTGAATGTTGATATTAGATGGATATAAAAACTATGAATTAATAGTTTTTCAAGTATATTATAAAGAGAATGATATTATATATCTAAATTTATTATTATATTTAAGTTATTTAATTCAGTTATTTAATATTGGCTGTTTTAATAATCTGAAATGTTTATATAATGTTTAAATCAATAAATTTATTAAGGTATATATTAATTATATTTTGAAGGTTAAATTCTTTATAACTTTCAAAACTATATATTAAGAATCAATTATTTCTTAGAATATAAAAGTAGGGTTTTGAGGAATAGATTTAATTCTATTTAATTTTAAAGCTGTATTTTCAAAATTAAATATTCAAATTTATATATTTATTTCTTTTTTTTTCAATTTAAATTAATAAATCTTTTAAACCCTTTGTAATTTAATTGAAGTTTTTTTTTAATCAATATTAATTAAATTTCGAATAATTTGTTATTAATTAAGCTTTTCTATATTTATATTCAAAACTGTATTAACTTTAACTAAGGGTATAAAGAGATTAATTTATAAGAATATACTTTTAAATGTAAAGAATTGTATATTTTGAGTAGCAAATAAAGTATTAAGTAAGTGTTGATGTGTAAAAAAAACTTAATTATGTTAAGGAGGAGTGTTTATTGGATAAAAGATTTTTAATATATTATTTCAATAAGAAATTAATATTCAGATTTAATATAACAAATATCAAAAAAAAAGAAATTCTAATAAAAAAGTATTTTCTAATTAATATTATAGTAAATATGGAAAGATAGGATATAATGCAAGAATCTATCAAAATAATGTAATAGATTCTAAATTATTAAATTCTTAATAATTTCAATTAATTAATTTAATTATTATTGAATAATATGAATTTGAAAGTGTAAATTGAGGTGAAAGTGGGCCACTTGGTGATATGGGCCACTCGGTGTTAAACTACGTTAGCGAATGAAACAATGATAATTATGATTATAAAGATCTCGGAAACGATGAGATATGTAGGTTTAGATGCTTAGATAGATATATACATGTATTGATGATGTATTGATGAAGTGATATTATATTGCATGTATTTAAATTTTAAAATGTCAAGGAAGATGAGGCTCGTGAATTTTAACACTAGCCGCACATTGTGTTTGTATCAATGTAAAAAAAGATATCGAAAAAAGATATCGAAAAAAAATTCAAGGGTTAATATAATCTTCCTAAAGAAAATCAGAAACCAAAGAAAAACATCTTCAACAAACCCTACAATGCCTCCAGAAAAACCACTTCCATATCCAGATGATTTTTCTAACGCAGATGAATACGTCGACTCACTCCTAAACTTTGCAACCACCTCTACCCTTTTCCAAACCCTATGCGGAGGCGTTCATATCCTCGATTTCTTCATCAGAGAGCCAAGTCTCTATCATAAGATTCTCCCCGAAGAATGGCGCGCCTGGTTACTCGACTATCCCTCGATGGATTTTCTAGATTTGCTCATGCGGGATGATCTTTCATTGGCACGTGATATGATCAATCCGCCGCCAGAATCTCTCATCACATATATCCTCAATATCCGCAAGTATTCACTAATCCGAAGCGTGGAGAAGAAGAATCTCAGTGCTAGGAAATTACCTAGACATGTGGCTGTGGGTATGATTCCGAAGAAAATACACGAGGTGACGAATTTTGCGGATTATGTAACGCGGGTTGCGGATGAGGTGAAGGAGGAGAGTGGAAAGGAAATCACGCATTTTGTGGATTTTGGGAGTGGGCAGAACTATTTGGGGAGAACGTTGGCGAGTCCGCCGTGGAATAGGTGGATTGTGGCGGTGGAGAGTAAGGGGGGGAATATTGAGGGGGCGAAGAGTATGGATATTTTGGCGGGGATGGCGGAGAGGGAAAAAGTTATGAGGAATAAGAAGGTTTTCAGGGAGAAGGTTATGGGAGAAGTAGGAAAGATTAAAAGAGCAGAAGGGAAAGTGGATAGGGATGAAGAGGCAGATTTACGACCGGCGAGGGCTTTACAGACGATTTATACCCCAGCTATTGGAAAGGGATATATTCAATATGTGGAACATCGAGTCGAAGATGGAGATTTATCGGATGTAGTGTCTCAAATTGAGGATTTGAAGATTGCAGCCCCAGATAGTGATCTCAACATCATTTCGGAGCCCGGTTCTACTGCTCTTGCTAAGGAAGATATCTTATCCCGCGTCTCGGAAGCAATACCCTCGGAAATAAATCTAATGGCTATATCCATCCATTCCTGCGGCAACCTCTCACATCATGGAATCCGCTCTCTCCTCCTCAATCCTTCGGTTCACGCTATAGCCATCGTAGGCTGCTGCTA